CAAGTTGTGGTTTGAATCAATCATTGCAGATGTACCACCAGATTGCAGTGGAGGAAATCGCTTCCGACATCCTGCTTTTCGACAGAGTTCAAAGGGAGTGAGCGCTAAAAGAACAGCGAGCCCCCCTAATCTGTGCTTCAGCCCCACCATCTGCAACATGCGGCTGATCTGGTTGATCTGGCCAGATTATGGAGATCATGTCTAATAGGGAGGCTTTTTTGGACATTTGAAACTTTGCTCTGTAAACACTAAATATTACCAAGGGTAATCAAGAGATGTTCATGATGGTCTCATTTAGAGACCAGTGCCGAAGACTGAGGTGCTCTACCTATGCTCTGAACTCATAACTGGTGAACAGATCCCCAACACTGAGCTTTGGCTAATGAAGGGTGAGACGGTCCCAATCCATGCTCAGATGCGCTTATATGACCCTGGCTCCTTACAGCGGCCATGGCTCACCCCTGAATTCAAGTCAAAGCATGAAGTTGGTGGCGGGGAAGAGAACAGATGGCCATCTAGATCACAACCAGAGAAAACACACAAAAAGTGGTAGGCCTGGCCAGTATGATTAGTAGAAATACCGGCTGTACTGCTGCAGACTTCTGGAAGGAAAGACTGGGAAACGTTGCCAAGAGGGAGGGAGGGAGGCCAGTTTTGCAGGCCTAACTGCTGTCGCCGGCATATGAACATGAAAACTGGCAAAGGACAAAATGTGGTTTCTGTGGAAAGGCACACAGAGCCTCCGTGGCCTTTAATCCCGGGCCAAACCCTTGAAACCAGCTATAAATAGTCTCTCCTTAACTTGGGGATGGAACTAGCCCAAGACATTTTTAAACTGGGGCAGAAGGAACCAGGTGGCACCCCAACATCCGTCACCAATCAACACGGAACACAATTCGCCAAGTCTCTTGAAAAAGCTCTTCTGAATGAAAAGAGCATGTGGTTGTGGTCAGAAGGCTAGACTAAGACCTGAGAGACCCGAGTTTGAATCCTGACCCTAGCAGCACACCTGCCAACATTGGGTCAGGCTCTTCTCCAGCCGCAACTGCCCCACATGGTTGTTGTGGGGATAAAATAGGAGAGGGGAAAGCCACGTACGTTGTTCCTTTTCTTGGAGCCAGGTATATAAATTAATAGACAACACAGAAGCAATGCTCCCTCTAAGCTGTGGAGTTTTGTGAGCAAAAATTCTACTTTGTGAGCTACTGGCATGAAAGTTGTGAGCGAGCAGTTTGGCTGCTGCATAACTTAGTTTGCTCTGGAGCCATCCTTCCAGAGCTAAAACAAAAATGTGTGAGCCAGAGGCTAAAGAACTGTGAGCTAGCTCACACTAACTCAGCTCAGAGGGAACACTGCATAGAAGACAAAAGTTCTCACATTATTTAGAGTGCAGGTCCCCAGTATTACAGAACATTGTTAACCCTTCTAAAACACAAGGGCAATTTTCCAAAAAACATATGCAGGCATGCGCCATACAGATTCTGAGTTTTATTCGACACATTTTGAACCCGTTGGCATCAAAAGTTGCATGGGGCTGTAGAAGATTCAGAGGGATATAAGAATCTTTTCAATTTATGAAAAGTTAGAGGGACCCATCCCCATAAAACATTAGGACTTTAATTTCATCGAAAGCAAAAAAGGCAGGATATAAATTCACTACAATAAAATGCCTTCCCCTCATCCACTTTTCACCGAATGCTGCTTCTACCAGAATGGCAGGCATTTTAAAAAAATTATTTCCATCATTTATACCCCACTTTTCACCCCAATGGAGACCCAAAGCAGTTGACAACATTATCCTTGTGAGGTAGGTTAGACTGAGAGGGTGTGACTTGCTGTGCGGCAAAGCTCCCCCTGGCCTCCTCAAAGGGTTAGTGTGAATAATAAGGGGTCTAGTTCATCCTGTAGATACTAATGGGTCTCTTGGCCTGTTATCATCTTCAAGGCCGGAGATGGAGGTGGTGATATTAGCTTCTTGTGAGAACCTGCTGCCTGTATGACAGGGACAGGAGAGCTGGGGTTGATGAGACAATCTTCTAGAGGCTTCTTTGGAAAGTATATCCTGATTGGATGTCACCCTGATGTTGCTGGGCCAAAAACTAAAATTTAGCTAAGGCCCAAAGGAAGAGTGGACTGATGGGCTGAAGGCCTGAACTATAAGAACCTAAGAGAAGCCAATGTTGGATCAGGCCAATGGCCCATCCAGTCCAACACTCTGTGTCACACAGTGGCCAAAACCCAGGTGCCATCAGGGGGTCCAGCAGCAGGGCCTATGTTCTGCTTGAATTGCGATTGGCAGCAGCATAGAGAAATTCCTGAGCTTTGGCCTGTGTGACTTCGGAACTTAAGGTCTGCGCTGTAGCGCACGCTCTGAAAGTGTTATAACGGTTGAGCTAGTATTTCTTATTTTCTTGCTGTATGGTTTCTAGAGTAATAGAGTTGCTGTTTAAGAAGTTCTCCTAGTGGACTGAACCTACAATAAACTTTATAAATCTTTTTAAAATAAACAACACTCTGGTTACTTGTGTGCAACTACCCTGGGAACCCACAGGGTTTTGACCTTGTGGTCTCTGGCACTTGCCCAAGGTCACCCAGCAAGCTTCCACAGCAGAGTTGGGGTTTGGCCTTGAGTCTCCCAGTTCATAGCCTGAAACACTAACCACTTGACCGGGCTAGCACAAGCGGCACCCTCAAACTACTTTACCGTTTGATGGAGTGCAGTTGGAGGGCTGGTGCTCCTGGAAAAACATGCCAGGTGGGTTAAGAGCTGTTAAGAGGGAGACACATCTGGGCTTTTGCCTACTGAGAGCCAGTTTGGTGCAGTGGTTAAGTGTGCGGACTCTAATATGGGAGAACCGGGTTTGAGTCCCCACTCCTCCGCTTGCACCTGCTGATGTGACCTTGGGTCAGTCACAAGCTCTGGCACAGCTGTCCTTGAAAAAGAGCAGTTTGTGTCAGAGCTCTCTCAGCCCCACCCACCTCACAGGGTGTCTGTGGTGGGGAGGGGAAGGGAAAGGAGTTTGTAAGCCGCTCTGAGACTCCAAGTGAAGGGCGGGGTATAAATCCAATCTCTTCTTCTTCTTCTACGTACTTTTGCAGAGCTTCTGCTTGGAGGGCAGTCCCGTTTCCAGCACCATGTATTTGCCCACTGCTGTCCTAACGTGGCAGAATCTCTTAACACAAAAACACTTTGCCTTTTGACTACATGGGTCATCTTGTGTGAATGACTGTACACAGTCCAGTGGTGTGCAGACCATGCAGGTGCACACACCCACACAAAGGGATCTCTGCCTCTATAGGCCATCAGTGCTAGGTGGGGGAAACAGCTGGGAACCACCCAGGTATGCTGCTTTCACCACCATGACAGAAAGGAAGCAGGATAGAAAGGTAACAAACAAGACTTGAGGGTTGACATTGTGTGCCCTCCCCATGGGCACCCTTCGTACAGGTTACGTACTATTTCTGGGCCACCGAAGCATCTTTTTCAGATGATGGCGGTACTGCTCCAAACACACCCCTCTTGGAAGGAAAAGGACTTATACAGCATATATTTAAGAGGTGAGGGCTGAAGGCTTTTTTTTTTTTCAGAGGAGCTTAACATGGCATTTGGGAGAAATCCAAAAGAAGGCCTCACTGGAGGGAATGTTTCGGAGTCTAAAAGCGGCGGTGGGAGGGGGGGGAGGTTGACCTGTTTTTCTGTCCAGCCTTTGATGCTGATCTGGGGCAACAAGGCATGACAGAGTAGTGGGCTGTTGAAAAAAAATCTCCAGGCTGTCTGCCCCCATCAGCTCAGAAGGATCTAAGTGCCGGTGATGCCTAAAGGTAAATTCCTGGAGTAAGGAGGATTTGTCAGCAGCATTTGATCTCGGTTGTGTAGCATCTTACAAAATGGAAATCCAAGATGCACCCCCCCCCCAAGATATGGAAAGTTGGGCAATTTTAGTTTATTGCAGACATCCAAAGAAAACAAGGTGGAATTTGAGACATCTGAAATACTGTGCAGTCTGGAAGAAGAAATATTGCAAACTCATATTGTTTACACGAAACATGGTTGGAGCTGATACATCAGCTCACAGAGGCAGTGTACTGGCAGACCAGAGAACTGGATTCTGCCTGAGACCAAAGATTGTGAGACACAATACATTTTTCCAACTCTGCAGAATCTGCCCACCTCTAAACTGGTCTTCTCAGGACCAAGGAAGGAGCCATGGCTCAATGGCAGAACATCAGCTTGGCGTACAGAAGATCTCAGGTTTAATCCCCGGCACCTCCAGTTGAAAGGACCAGGCAGTAGGTGATCTGAAAGACCTCCCCCTGAGACCCTGGAGAGCCACTGCCAGTCTGAGTATTATTATTAATTGGATTTATCAATTGCCCTATCCTAGGTCACACTGAGCTCTGGGCAATGTACAAGGGGCAAAGTGCCATAAAACAAGATACAAATTTTAAAATACCCATATACAGTTGCTACGAACTAAAACTAAAGTAAAAGGATCCAAGGTGGCAACTTACAAATTTCTGTTCCAATTCCCATTTAGTGGGAAGGGGAGAGGGAACTTAAAACTAAATATGCAGGGGGGAGAGGGGAAGGGTGCCCACCGTGGCCTCCAGTCCCTCAGCAGACAATACTGACGGTGATGGACCTTATACTGATTCAGTATAAGGCAGCTTCATGTGTGTACCTCAGCATGGCTGCAATACCTTTCCCCCCAAAAGGATCAGATATCAGAATCTGTAGTGATTTTTTTAAAAATCACATGAAGAAGAGACCACTTCTTTTTTTAAAAAAATCACCCTCATTTATTATCCTTTTACAAAACCCACACACTGGCAGTAAAAATAACCAGACCCCTCCCCCCTTATTGCAGATATGACCCTAGAGGCAGCAAGTGCTAGGACCCCACCCTTCCCCTCGGCTCAGCGTTATTCATCTTCGCGCACACACCCTCCCCACCCACCCCCGCCCAAGCTTTTCTGTAAACAAGTGTCTCAAGGCTCTGACAGGATTTGCTCGCACATCAGCATTTCTCGCCAAGTGGGGGGGTGGGACCCCAGTAGCAAAGCTTCCAACAACAGATAATATGGGGCACGTCAAGCCCCTGCCCATCTAGAGATCCACCCCCGGAGCATTAACCTAATTCCGCTGCCTTTCAGGGACCCTGTTGTGGGAAGAGGAGAGTCCTTGGGGTACTCGGGAGGAATTTCAACCCCTTCGTTAGGGATGAGAGACCCGTATTGCTTTCCACACTCCCCGTCAGGCACAGCAGGCAACACAGCAGCGCTTGGGGGACGGACACAGTCACGGGCTCCCAGGACAGCCTCCTGTTTGGCTCAAAGGGACTTCCGGGGCCGCTTCAGGAAGGAGAGGGTGTAGTCGCGGGGGGCCGAGGCCTTCTGTTTCTTCAGCTGCACCTGGGACTGAGCCGTGAGCTGCAGCTTGATAGCGCTTGAGTTGATCTTGGCGGCCACCAGCAGCTCTTTCATGCCCTTCATCTTCTCGCTCTGGAAGGTGAGGATGGGCCCTTCGGGAGGTGGGCTAGGGCCGCTACTGGGCACCTCCTCCTTCTCCAGAGTGGGCCTGTCTGTACGTTGGCCCGAGCTGGGGCGTCGGCGCTCAGTCACCTTCTTGGGCAGAGGCGGCTCCTCGGGCTTGGACTCGCGGCGGGGACCACGGCGTCGCCCCTCTCGCAGGTCCTCGCTGCCTTGATCGTCGTCATCATTGGCATCTACCTCTCGGCTCACCAGGGTCACCTTCTGTCGCACCTGAGAAAAGAAGAAGAGGAGATTGGATTTATACCCACCCTTCACTATCCGAAGGAGTCTCAGAGCAGCTTACAATCTCCTTTCCTTTTCCCTTCCCACAACAGACACCCTGTGAGGTAGGTGGGGCTGAGAGAGCTCTTTTGAGAACTGCTCCTGAGAGAACTGCTCTCAGAGAACTTGTAAATGACCCAAGGTCACACCAGCAGCTGCACATGGAGGACTGGGGAATCAAACCCGGTTCTCCTAGATTAGAGTCCACGCTCCTAATCACTACACCAAACTGGCTCAAAAGGGAGAGAGGATATGATTCATACACAGGACGTTAACCCTCAAAACGAATCCTTGCCTGCCCAAAACCAGCACTTAGGTTAAGCACTTGCATTGACTGTCTGCAGAGTTACAGGACTATTTAAACCTGTTCTAAATACTGAGGGAAGAGAGTGTCAGTCATAGAATGCTGACGATCAGTGCAACTTCTGCAAGAGCAGTGAGAAGCCACTTCAAGTGGAAGGAAAAGCTCAGTGATACTTGGTATAGGCACAAGGAAGATTGTGTGCTACTAGAAGGAAGTGGGAATGGGGTGCTAAGAGGACAGAGAGCCAAAAAGAGTTGGTTTTATACCCCACCCTTCACTATCCGAAGGAGTCTCAGAGCAGCTTATAATTGCCTTTCCTTTCCTCTCCCTACAACAGACACCCTGTGAGGTAGGTGGGCCTGAGAGAGCTCTGAGAGAACTGCTCTGTGACTGACCCAAGGTCACCCAGCTGGCTTCATGCGGAGGACTGGGGAATCCAACCCTGGTTCTGCAGATTAGAGTCTGCCGCTCTTAACCACTACACCAAGCCAAGAGTTAGGGAAGCAGCTGCATTTTACTCAATGAGCAGAAGCCACTATAAAATCTGGTCTGCCGGTCTCCAGTCTTTTTAGTGCCTCTTAAGTGCTTTGCATTTCCTCTGGCAGTGGGTTTCACAAACCCTCCTGGGTTTGACCCAGGGCTTCCCGCAACCCACCCAAGCTTACAAACCTCTGAAGATTTAACTCCGAAACTAACACCTCTCTTCAACTATCCGGATTACCCCAGCCACCCTACCCTGGTATCCCAGATCTGCTTGAATCCAACTATAGTGGATCTTTACTTCCAATCAATAACTGCACTCCCCACTAAATATCATCAGACTTTGATGATCCCCTGCCATACAGCAATGTACCCAAGCTCACAAGGCACTGCTGGCTTGTAGACCCCTGAAAGTGATTCAATACCAGCCCTCCCCACCTCTGATGCACACATGCCTGATCTGTCTGACCTTCGAAGCCCCGTTCCACCCATCACTCACCGTCCCTTCAAAACGACTCAGGGACTGCACCAAGAAAGTGGCCCAGCCCACGTGGAGGACAGGCGTGGGGCTGCCCTCTTCCCATTTGCAGATTCCATCGTAGAAACGCAGGAGGTGAGCAAAACACTCGGGGTCCTGTACAGCTGAGCCGCCGGCCTGGGATGGAGAAGCCTAGGAGAGAAGGCAGGGGTGGGGTCAGCTTGCTCTGTACACATTGCTCATGCTGGCTGGGTCTCCCAAACTTGGGTATTAAGTCATTCATACCCTGCACAAAGGGTCCCCCGCGTGCTACAATATTCACTCAGAATAAAACCAGAAAACAGCAATACAGAGGAGACAATGAAAACCACCAACCGATGTTAAAAACGGCAATTAAAAAAATCAGAGAATGAAAGAACTGTCAGACTCAAAGAATCAGTCTAAGGGAAGAAAAAATAAAATGTCGAAAAGATATCGTCTGCACACCTCTTTTATATTCCCCTGCAACATAGCCATAGACAGTTTTCACTCTAACTCACAGGCTCCTCTCCTATCTATGCAGCCACCGAGTTTGGTTGATTCTTCCTTTTCATCTTCTGCCTCTCCGAATCCAGTTGCAAGACTCTTCCATGGGTTCTGATTACCCCCGTCTGACCTCTTGGAACTTTCTCTTTACTCATGGATTCAAAATATGTTTCTGCTCAAGACATCTTTCTCCAGCAACCAACAACATTGTACATCCTCCCGTTCAAGCTCCGATTCACAGTTTACAGCTCTCCACTGGCCTGTATCCCACACTCTTCTCTTGCATTCTACTTTGCACAAGGCCGGCCTTTTTTTCTTACAGGAAAGGGAAAGCGTTTCAGTGGTAGAGCATCTGCTTTTGCATGCAGAAGATCCCAGGCTTGTCTAGCCTGAAGGATCAGGTGATGTGACAGAGTTCTACCTGCGTCCCTGGAGAGCCGCTGCCGGTCAGAGTAGACAATACTGACCTTGACAGACTAACGGGGTCTGACTCACTGGAAGGCAGCTTCGTGTGTCCACACTTCCATGCTTGGGTCACGCACACGTCCGGAGGAATGAGGTGGTAAAATGGACTGCACCACTTCAGTCTTGCAGGTGGAGGATCGGATTTTAGAACCACTTCCCTGTGTTTAAAAAAACCCACCCCGGCCAATAGAAAACCAGCTCTGTGAGCCAAGAGAAGGGCAGAACCTTTCTCCCCACTGTTCTCCTTTTCTGTTTATAAACGGGTCTCTCTCTTTTTTAAAAAAATACAAAGCGACATTCAGAACTGGAATTCGCCACCTGCAATCTGAAGCGGGACAGCCCATTTTACCACCTCTGCATTCTGCCGCTTCATTGCCACCTCATTCTCCTGCATGTGTCAACCAACGCTTTTCCTGCCACACGGTTTCCTGTGCCAGGCCAGGCCTGCATTCCCCCTCCCCCCACAAGTGCCGTGTGCGCGAAGTCTCGCTTGTAACTCCCAGAATTCCTCTGCCCCAGTCTACTACTCAGAGTCAGCTAGTTTTTGCTATCTGCTGTAGACTGCAGGACTTCTGGGTAGGGACCGTGTTTCTTCCATGTTCTTTCCAAAACCTCGCACAAAGCACGGATCAAAAAGCCCGTCAAACCCAAATGCAGCTTCTCCCCCATTTCTGGGCACCAGCAGGCACAGCCACGTCCATTCCAGGCCGCCATCCCCCTGCCCCCTTACCTCTCCTCTCTCGCCACTCCCCTTCTCCTCCGCCGAGTCAGCAAGGCTGGCCACCTCTTTCAGCAAGTTAGGAATGACATCGTTGGCCACGTCAAAGAATTCCTTGTAGATTTCTTCGTCCTCCCGGCAGTAGTTATAACTAGAGAAGGGAGGAAGAGGGTGTTTGAATGTGGGAGAGCTCCCACGTGCATGACTGAGCACTGTTTTATGGACGAGAGCTCTTAAGTCTAACGCAATGGGCAGAGATCAACAAGAACCATACAAAGGGTAAGTCTATTTTGACCAAGCTCTTCCACAGTGCCATGCCCAAAAGGGCAAATCTTTCATCAAATGGAAAGTTATACTGGCTATTTCCCCCCAGTATCTCCAGTACCCTTTAATCTTGTGTTCCTCGGCACAGTTCTCACAACTGACTGCCACTAGAGCAGGGGTGGCCAAACTTGCTTAACATAAGAGCCACATAGAATTTATTTATTTTATTTTATTTCATTTATATCCCGCCCTCCCCGCACGCGGGCTCAGGGTGGCTCACAACATGAGGTGTAATACAGCACCACAGATAAAACAAGTAAGGCACTCAGTGCAATAAATATAGTTAAAACAGTTAAAACACAGTGGGTACTCCCAAGGATCCGTCGTGACTAACATACTCGCTCTCCATTGCACATCAGATGGGGCCAAGGAGGGGGATGCTGTGGGTCACAGTGTTCAAGGTGGCCAATCGGCCCGACCCAGCGGTGCTGCTCGCAGTCGCCCGTTGGTGGTGGTGGCGGCGGCGGCTCGTATTCGAAAGCCTGGCGGAAGAGCTCCGTCTTACAGGCCCTGCGGAACTGTAACAGGTCCCGCAGGGCCCTGATCTCCTCCGGGAGCTCATTCCACCAGATAGGAGCTGCCACCGAAAAGGACCTGGCCCTTGTGGCAGCAACCAAACCCAAAAGACAGACCTCCCAGTATCCAAACTCCAAAGACAACAAAACTGGGGTCAATATCAGTCCAATAATACACTCTTAAACATTAGTTATGTATGCTAATACAATTACTTTTATACTTGATTATAGTATCTAAGTATACAAAATATTCACAAGGTATACAACCTAATCCTACAATATCTTAATGTTATACAATAACACGGTAATACAACAAAATATCAATTGCTGCCAACAGCCAGAAGATACTAGTGGAATTCCAAAACATGTGCTGTTAACAGTCAAAAGAATGTAGAGCTTCTTGACAAAGCAGCCGGCTTTAGGGCCCGGGGTCACTAAACGGTGCCGTGACCCCGACCGAAGTGCTCTTTGGGGCCTGTGTGGGGAAAGGCGGTCCCCTCAGGTCATGAATAAATGTCAGTTGCTTTCTTTCTCTGTTCCCCCCCTGCCTCAAGCCTACCCAGGAAGGGGAACACTGGCTGGGGAAGGGAAGACCAATCGGGGAGGCACGCCCTCCCCTTCGCTTCCCTAGCTGCCCTGCTGGGAGCTGCACAATATGTGTGAAAAGAGCCACATGTGGCTCCCGAGCCACAGTTTGGCCACCCCTGCCCTGGAGGACTCTTCCAGGCTTTTTTAAAAACAGGTAATTGACATATTACACAAAGCTTAGTCTACTATGACATGTCAATTACCAATTTTAAGCTATAGTGATATGTCAATTACCAATTTCTTCCAGAGCTTCTACATCTTCTGGGGTGTAGGGAGAAAACGGCAGCTGCAGAGAGCTGAGGAAAAGAAAATGGCACCAATATGGGTGGAATCTTCAAAAACGTACAATTTTCCATCACTTGGCTGTGAAATAGATTTAAGACCGTGGTCTTTCCAAGTAGATGATATCAAAACAGGTTTGGGAAAGATCACTGCAGAAAAGTGGGGAGAGAAACTGGATGCCATTGTTCTACGCATTCTCCAAAAAACCAAACAAACCCTACTCCTGTTTAGACATGAATCCTCTGTGTGGAAGCAGCCCCTGATTCCTAACTCTTCCGCCACCTTATCTGCTTGGACAGTGTTCCTGGCACAGAACCAGTTGGTCACAGCCAAGTGGAATAAAGAGAGGGTGAAATTTCTGTCTGTGGAGATGACACTCACTCTTGGATCACAGTGGCGGAGTCAGCCCAGGCCTCCAGCGCCTCCTTGACATTTTTGTTACGACAGTGGTAGCCTGCAAGGTACATGTATGGGTAGATATGTTCGTTGTTGTAGTACTGCTTGGCAGAGTTGATCCCCTGCAGGAAGAGGACAGGAGACAGAAGGGACTTGAGGCAGAGTGGGATTAGATCCAGACATTTTTAGGATCAGTTGATGACAGGTATTGGGGGGGGGGGGAATTAAGAAAAAAGATGATCAAGTAGCCTTTTCACAGAAGGACACAAGAGCATGTAATTTAACCCACACAACTAAGAAGCCAATTCACAGAATCATAGAGTTGGACGGGACCTCCAGGGTCATCTAGTCCAGCCCCCTGCGCGATGCAGGAAATTCACAAATACCCACCCCCCAGCATAGTCAGAACATGGTGAAGCAATCACATGTAGTCCATGAGGATCTCTTGCCATGTGGGGCAGCCGATTATACCATTGCTACTAGTTTGGGTAGAACGTCCCAGTTCAGCCCCAAATGCCAGGTAAGAGGCTCCTGTGCTAAGTACCCCTCATCAGTTTAAAGAAAATGCTCTCATTGTTCAGGAAGCCCAACTGGAAAGGGATGAAGCCGAGGGATGCAGACAGAGCCCAAGTCCCATCCACAAAGATCTTCTGTGGCCACTGCAATATTCTGCCTGTTCTCACAGACAGAACGCAATGAGCAGTTCTTCGGAACAGAGCGATACCTTGTGGTAGAGGAAGAGGGGGTCGGGTCGGCCAGGAGTGGGTTCTAGCTCCTCCAGGTCAGCCAGATTCCCCAGAGCCATCGGGTACCTGTGATGGGAGATGAAGGGTTGAGACAGCGAGTGGAAAGCAGCTGCTGATCTTAACAGAGAATTCTTTCTCAGCCATGGCTATTGCCAACTTCAAGACCAAGAGGATTAGGATAGTCCTGGAACAGTTATGAATAACTTGATATGGTTCATGCACATTTTAGACAAATCATATTATTTGATGGAGTCGTTGGGGATATACCAGTTTCCTGCTGGGGAAAAAATATCACCTTTTAAGCATTCAGAGCCAGTTTGGTCTATTGGTGACAGTACTGCACTAGGATCTGGGAGACTCAGGTTTGAACCCCCACTCTGCCATGGAAGTTTGCTGGATGACCTTGGGCCAGTCACATGCTCTCTGTGTAAACTGGGGTGGTGGTAGAAACTGCCGTCAAATCACAGACGACTTATGGTAACCACATAGGGTTTTCCATTATGGGTTTTTATTATGGTTTTTAACTTAATCTAAATTATCTATTGTTTTTATTTTGTTGTAAACCGCCCTGAGCCCTGCTTGCAGGGAAGGGTGGTCTAAAAGTCTAAATTAATAAATAATAAATAAATAAGGCAAGGGAAAACAGTGATGGTTTGCCATTGCCTGCCTCTACATAGCAACCCTGGTATTCCTTGGTGGTCTCCCATCCAAATACTAACCAGGGCCAACCCTGCTTAGCTTTTGACATCTAACAAGATCAAGCTAGCCTGGGCCCTCCGGGTTAGGGCCAGTGTAACCTACCTCACAGGGTTGTGAAGATAAAATTGAGGAGAGGAGATTGATGTGAGGTGTGCTGGGTTTGGTGTAGTGGTGAAGTGTATGGACTCTAATCTGGGAAAACCGGGTTTGATTCCCCCACTCCTCCACTCGCAGCTTCTGGATGACCTTGGGCAAGCCACAGTTCTGTCAGAGCTGTTCTCTCATGGACAGTTCTGGAAAGAGCTCTCTCAGCCCCACCTACCTCACAGGGTGTCTGTTGTGGGGAGGGGGAAGGGAAAGGAGTTTGTAAGCCACTCTGAGACTCCGAGTGAAAGGGGGGGGGGTTATAAATCCAACCTCTTCTTCTTCCCCATTTGGGGAGAAAGGTGGGGTATGAATGAAGTAAACAAATCCATTTAGTCATGCCAGTTCACAGATGGAACGTCACGCAAGTGAATGCACAGGAGGATGGCTTATCGTGAGCCAGGCCACTGGTCAGTTGAGGACAGTACTGTCTGCTGTGACTGGCAGCAGCTCTCCAGGGTCATAGGGGAAGAAGGTCTCTTACTGACCCACAGCCCCACTCCGAGGTGGCAACGTCCGTGTACAAGGTCTCATGGGTGGTAAGGATGTTGTTGCCTGAAGGCAGAAGAGTCTAAAAACTAGCATAGTTTCTAGCATGTTGCATAACTTTAGAGAGGCTGTCCCCCCCCTCCCCCTTCTGGGGTGGTAACATTTGGAAGGAGCGGCTGGTTTAAGCCAAGTCCACCCCCTCCATCATCTGACAGTGAGACAGCCAAGGACTAGAACACAAACACACAGATCAGCCTTCCCTGTGAATACGAGAAGAGCTGGCATGAACCAGGAGCTGTTGCCGAAATAACTGCTAGCAAGAAGGTGACCGCGGGTGGAGACAGGCCTCCTCCAGAATACTGACCTCTCCAGATGGCCCAGATCAAAGAGAACCCACAGCAACTTCTGCAAAGGATGGAGATAGAGGACGTGAGAATAGCCATGTTCGATCAGACAAAGGGGCCCATCTCATCCCACATCCTGTTTCACACAGTGGCCAACTGGATCCCCCCCCCCCCCGGGCCCCCAGCAAATAGTAATCAGAGAGTTAAAATTCTTGAAGATGGAGGTTCTATTTAGTCATTGTACTTAATCTTTTTTTGTTTGTGGTAATAAATTTCTTTTTTGGTGGTTGTAGATTTTCTGGGCTCATTAAGCCCCGGAGAGCTTTGCACTCTTCTGATCAACATCTCCTAGTGTCCCCTGGCCCGAGGGACGTCCGCTTAGCCTCAACCAGGGCGAGAGCACTGAGATCAGGGCCCTGTGGGACTTGCTACCATTCCACAAGACCTGTAAAGTAGAGCTGTTCCGCCAGGCTGAGAAGGTGGGTGTCCAATAAAATCTTGCTTCCCCCTCCTACCAGTTTGGTGCAGTGGTTAAGTGTGCGGATTCTAATCTGGGAGAACCGGGTTTGATTCCCCACTCCTCCACTTGCAGCTGCTGGATGACCTTGGGCAAGCCATAGTTCTGTCAGAGCTGTTCTCTCAAGGACAGTTCTGTCAAGAGCTCTCTCAGCCCCACCTACCTCACAGGGTGTCTGTTGTGAGGAGGGGAAGGGAAAGGAGTTTGTAAGCCGCTCTCAGACTCCGAGTGAAGGGCGGGATATAAATCCAATCTCCTCCTACTACCATTTCTATGTGGCCCAGATTAAGAAGAAGAAAATGGCACCGGCTTGAAATCTAGGCATATAAATAGTGTGACCTGTTTTAGTTTATGCAGTTTTAAACTGTTCTAATAGTTTTGTAAATTATATTTGATATGTACTGACATTTTTATGATGTCTTAGATTTTGTTCTGTGATTTGCCCTGAGCCTGCTTGTGGGGAGGGCAGAATATAAATTGAAATACATAAATAAATAAACTAACTAACTAACTAAATAAATAACTAAATGGAGCTGCGGTGGTTCAAGCGGTTAAGACGCTGAACTGCAGGCTGTGGAAGGTCAGTAGTTCAGCAGTTCAAGACCCGAGTTGCCGCATGACGAAGTGGGCTCCTGTCTCTAGTTCCAGCTCCTGCCAACCTAGCAGTTCAAAAGCAAGAAATTGCAAGTAGATAAATAGGTACCACTTCGGTGGGAAGGTAACAGCGTTCCGTGCGCCTTGGTGTTTAGTCATGCCGGCCACATGACCACGGAAACATCTTCGGACAGCGCTGGCTCTTTGGCTTTGAAATGGAGATGAGCCTCGCAACCCTAGAGTCGGACTCGACTGGCTTTCGAGCAAGGGAACCTTTACCTTTACCTTTAACTAACTAGCTAATACAAGGACATACAGATTTAACAGGCATAAAGGAACCTATATTTGGAGGGGATCTCCCCAAACTTTATGACATTTCATTCCCTCCAAATAATAAGAGGCATCCACTTGTTCAAAAAATATACTCAATAGACAATTGATGGACCTCTTGACTTTTTCCACCCCATCTATAATTTTTTTCTAAACCTGTATTTTGCCCTATTTCCCTTCCCCAAAGGCAAGTGGGAGGAAGGATGACAAGAAGACAGAGGAGGGATATGGGAGCTTTGCCAGACTCATCAGCCCACCTGTTGCAGCTGCAGCAATTCCAGGCTGTCAGTGTGCAGATCTATGGAGGGGTTGATGGCGCACACCATGAACGCCACCTCCATCTGGCGAGTGCAGCGCAGGTAGGAGCCCTTCAGATAAAGCCAGCTCTGCAAAAAAGGGGGGGGGGACAGAGAAGGACATTTTCAGGTGAAAAATCCAGGACTTCAGTGCATGCTTGCCTACCTCTCTCCAATGATGAATTGTGGGAATTTCAGACACCATGGAAGACGGGGATGGTAACAAAAATAACATTACAGAGAACATATTTCATATGTCTAAAAGCACTTCACATACGTTCTTTCAGGAACCTTTGCAAGCAGCCCTGTGAGGTAGGCGAGAGGATTACGTAGGGGGTTTTATGAGCCTTTGAGTACAGAGTGTTTACAGGACCCTCCATTACACTTCTCTCTCCAAATTGTTTCAGCATTCCCTACCCCCAGTTATGGCTCTATTCTGCCCTGCCCCGTTTGCACCTACCTTCATACTGCAGGCAAGGGAGAAGGACCAAGAGAAAAGAGGCGTGCCTGATGGCAACGTCACAGCACAGGTGAGATTCAAGCCAGATGCTTCCTAGGGCTCACCTGCCTTCTGTGCTGCACTAGGTGTTTGCAAAACCCTCAAAGAAGCACACATCCCTCCCCAAGCTAAACTTGGTTACCCGCTCTGCGACGCCAGAGTTGACCGTCTGTCCACGCCGGTCCTCGTTGCCCTTGCCATGCCACGTCACTTCTGCTGTCTGCTCACCGTCCTTGCCAAACACTACCCAGGCGTGGTCCTCGGAAAGCGCCAGGTGCACGTCCAGCAGCCCCAGTGCCTGGCAGGCCCCCACGACAGCAAATGCCACGCCTGAGCTGTCTAGTTTGGTGCCTGAAAAGGAGAAACTGGTGTCAGATAAAAGCGGGCATGACTGGCTAGAGATAAGGAGAGCCACCGACATGACACAACTGCCAGCAAATAGGTGGTTGACTTTTCAAAATATCCCTACATTTCAATATCTCATGGAGTTGCCTTATACTGAATCAGACCCTTGGTCCATCAAAGTCAATATTATCTACTTAGGCTGGCAGTGGCTCTCCAGGGTCTCAGGCAGAGAAAGGTCTTTCACATCACCTACTGTAAGACCCTTTTAATAGTTTTTTTCCCCAGGGACTGAACCTGGGACCTTCGGCATGCCAAGCAGATGCTCTACCACTGAGCCACTGCCCCTCCCATCTCCACAATGGGAGGCCACAAAACGGCAGCACAGGAACCCCTCGAGAGAGCGGGAAGCCTCACCTGTAATGAAGCTGAACAGGGACTGGATGTGTGCCCGGTCCTTGAAATAGGAGCGGCTCAGGCTGTTCCAGATGACGTCCGAGACTTTCTTAACCAGCTCCCGGGAGGAGTAACCGTCAGGACGGGGATAGAGTGAGAGATCGACAGCCCCGCGGATTTGGGCTGTGAAACGGGCGTGCAGAGCACCAACAATGCTCAGGTCGGCCACTGGGAAGTAAGTCAAGCTGTCAGGGCCCTGGGCCGGCTCAAAACTGATGCCTGGTACATTGGTGGGTAAGACGCGGTTGACAGCCAGGAAGTGCTCCACAAAGCCCAAGACTAAGGAGAGAAGCACCAGGTCTGGTTGTTCCCGGCGAAGCTCCAGCTCAAAAAGGCGCACCACATCTGGGACTGAGCGTAGGGGAAACAGTGCCTTTTGAGCACCTTTCAGCCCCATGGCAAAAGACAGCTCTGCATGGGAGAACGTGAAAAGGGTCACATACAGTGGAAGAATTTCATCATTCTCACTCTATCAGGCAAACAGTGAAAACAGACAGACAATCAAAATGTGGGAAAAGAAGTGGTTAGTGTCACAATTTAGAAAGCTCCACCACAACTTGTTTCTGCCTAGGAACATCCCGAAGAGCCAGGAAAGAAACTTTGCTGAAGGTGTGCGGCTAGAGAACTCACATCAGAGGTCTGACACACCTGAGGTAATACAGACACTTGTTGTAACTGGATATTATAAACTTACTGCTCAAATCTCAGCATGGCCATAAACCCTATAGGGTGTCTAAAGCAAGCATTTATTTATTTCTGCTTCTATTCTTCTCCTCATAGCATAGGCATAACGTCAGCCTACCTTACAGGGCTGTTTGAGGGTTGGCAACTCTGGCTTGGGAAATTCCTAGAGGTTTCCAAGCAGTGCCTAAGGAAGGCAGAGTCTGGAGACAGAACTCAATGAGAATGTGACACCACACCTTATGATAGCACATCCAGGTCAAAGGTCAGTTCTCCTTCCTATGGTGTTACTTCCTCCCACCAAAATTTAGATTTTAAATTTATCACTTCTACACCTTTTTCTACCACCTTACATTACTTGTAGGCTCCTCTATGCATGTGGTTTTATGCTGTACTACAAGCCAGAAGAGGGCCTTCTCAGTCATGGCACCAAAGCTCTGGAATTCTCTCCCCAAGGAGATTCATCTGTCCACTTCTGTTGCCTTCTTTTTTTGTTTCATTTGGCATTCTCTCAGTTATAATAAATAAAAAATAGAGTTAGTAACTCTGACTATTTTTCTATTATGCATGCGAACTGCTTCAAGCTCCAAGAACAAACATCTATATGAACTATTTACAAATGTACAATGTTTTGGGGAACTGATTTTTAATTAATACAAGTGTGCCACCTTAAAGAGTGATTCATCATGGTATCAGCTTTTCAGATTCTTGAGTCGTGTCCTCTGTTAGCAGAGAGGAAGACATAGAGGAATGGGTAGGCAGAGCGCAGTAGCAAACGGTAAGGGCAGGAATTGCAAGAGGCCATTCCTATGTAAAGACCATATTAAATACATATGTTCAATGACTTTTCACAACAGCAGTAATTGGTTTCTGCTATTACTGCTGTGAATGCACACTGGATTTACCAGTCTCACAAAAGCTGATACCACAAGGTATCTCTCAGGTACCACAAAGCTTTTTTCTGTTGCAACAGAGTAAACACAGCTATCCCACAGGTTTTTCTGTTAGATGTACAGCAAATACAGAGAGGGAGGTCATCAATAAACCGCAATAAGAACTTCCGAAAAGATGCTTGGTTTCAAATGCCCTCTCCGCCCCCCAATTGCCGCCAAAACAAGGAGGGAGAAAGAATCTGCTCTCCTCCAGCACCACCACTCCCCCCGCCCCCAGCCTGCAACTGAATCTCCCCCTCTGTGCTTCTTTTGAGGAAGGGCTGGGGGGCTGCAAACAAATCCACATTCCTCCCGCCACACCCCCTTCTCAGTCTCACCTCTCCAGCTCTCTAATTTGAATGCGCTGCTACAAAATTTGCAGCCATGCTCAGCGCGCACAGAAACACGGGAGTTGGAGTCTTGCACCTCGGAGGCATGCTGGGAAAATCTTGTCGAGCTTTTGCCATAAATCACTCCCCTTTTCCGGCAAACAGCCAGCCTGGCAGCCGCAAGGCACACTGGGAGTCTTCTAAGTCTTACCAATCGTCACCGCTTACAAGAAAGAATGGAGTTCCCCTGTGCATCCTGGGAATTGTAGTCTTGTCCTTTTTAAAGGTTCTTGAAGAGGTTGGAAGAAAACAGTCGCCGAGGGAGGGGTGAAGTGATTATATTTGCCAATATTTTTTTTCTGTTCCAAAATTTCGAAATTAGTTATTCTGTTGCGGTTGCAGGCCTTTAATGCTTCTGTCTCAGAGCAGAGGGAAACGGCGGAAGCTCGCTGTTTAGTATTGATCAAAGAATGGTCAGACCGTGACACTACGCCCCTAAAGAATCTGCTTTCCACACTTTTTTAAAATTTTGTAATTTGTGGTGAGCTGGAAAGCTTGCATCATGTGGTTGGGCTTAATATGAAAGGTCTTACATGGTTTTTCTTCATGGTTTTGGATTTTGCATGGACCAATATAGCTGTACGACTTTTATCTATTTCAAGGGTACCTAATTTCAGCCAAGACAGAAAAGCGTTTGTCAACAGAATAAAAGCAGACCTCTGTAAAGATTGTATACTCAGAACAAGGTTATTGTTGTTCAGTCGCACAGTTGAGTCCGACTCTTCGCAACCCCCTGGACCAGGTCACGCCAGGCCCTCCTATCTTCTGCTGTCCTCTGAAGTTCACTCAATTTCATGTTTGTTGCATCTATGACAGAACAAGGTAATGCCACCAAATTTGGCTTACACCCTCAATTTATTTCAAACATAGTTAATATACAAAGATTATGAGGTGCTTCCTATTGCTCTTAACCTGCAAGGTAACTATGTTTCTCCTCTGGTATCTGGGGATATTTTAGGTGGACGTGGAGTGGTTTCTAAATTTCTGTAAGAGAAAAAAGAATGGAAGCTATGGACTCTACAGGGAATGCGCTGTAAGGTAACAGGGTGGCAGACAGTACAGTTAAACTAATTGCCTGCTGACATTCCTCAGAGAATGTATGCAAGAGCAGACCTTAACACAATGGTCTGGAGAACCCGCTTTCCCCGCTTTAAAATTTTTTTGTAACATCAAGCCTGATGAAGAGTTCTGGTAAACTGGAAGTTTGGACTGCAGGAAAAGAGCAACATTCAAGTCCAGTAGCATCTTCAAGACCAACAAGGTTTCCTAGGTATAAGCTTTCAAGAGTCAAAGCGCCCTTCCTCAGGTATCTGACAAAGGGAGACTCGACTCTTGGAAACTTATACCTGAAAATCTTGTTGGTCGAAGGTGCTACTGGAATTTGATATATTGTGTGCATTTTCACAAAATAGGCCTGTGTAGTAGGTCATTCCTTCCTTTTACTGAAGGGGAGCTAAGGCTGGGAGATTTCTCAGTGGTCTTCATCCAGACAGTCCATTTCATGGCTTTGTCTCCTCTGAAGGTCAATTACCTCTGTATGGTTGCCGACATGCCTAGAGAGAAATATTCTCTCCGTTGAATAGAGGCTTAATGTGTACAAATGGGCAGCAGAAGCTTTTCGTGGCACAGTGGTAAATAACATCACTTGCTAAATGGCATCCCATTAAGCCTCTACTAGAGGGAGAGGACATTTGTCTCCATGCTAGCTGGCAACCTTAAGAGGAGGGAAGATGACTGATAAGTAGTGTATGATAGTGGTTATCCATCCTGTTCTGCCTGGAGCTGGGAGTCAGAGATATCACATTAGAGCGTGTGACAACACAAGTGCTAGAATCTCCACTATGCATTTATTGCAGGTAGCCGTGCTGGTCCTTTAAAAAAAAAATCCAAAAGAACCAAAGAGTAATGCCAACGGAAACATCACAAATTAATAAGCGGCCTTTAAAGCTCTCCAGAACCTTTATTTCAGTAGGATTTATGTATTTAATTATGTGATCCATTTAAAAAGGTGTTTCCTTCTGTTTTGGGATCCTTCCTGTCTATCTTGGGAATAGTAGGATCCCACCGTACTGCCCTCTTGGATGAGTTCAGAGCACTGACAGATGCATAGATGGAGGCGGCACTTCTGGTGTCAAGCTGGTAAAAGTTTAGAGGTAAAAGAATAGTACTTTGTATTATGCCTAGGGGGAAAGGTTGCACCAGTGCAGCCATAGCAGAATTGATGTTGTACAGGTCCTCTTTAGTCATTGTGATTTTGGCAGTCAAATTATGCATAATGGGAGATTGTGCTATGGACAGTCCTCTCCCAACTTGGTCACCTCACTCAGTAGAGCAACACATATGTTTTCTCTGCATGTGATTAGAAGGTCAGATTTGAGGATATATAATTATCCTGCCAACCTAGCAGTTCGAAAGCAAGAAATTGCAAGTAGATAAATAGGTACCACTTCGGTGGGAAGGTAACAGCGTTCCGTTCGCCTTGGTGTTTAGTCATGCCGGCCACATGACCACGGAAACGTCTTCGTACAGCGCTGGCTCTTCGGCTTGGAAACGGAGATGAGCACCGCAACCCTAGAGTCGGATTCGACTGGCTTTCGAGCAAGGGAACCTTTACCTTTACCTTTAATTACTGCAAGTGACTTGTTTCGGCCATGTCGTGCAGAAGAACTCACTAGAAAAAGCAATTATGCTGGATTGGTTAGTGGCAAAAGGAAACCTGGCTGGCAAAGAACACGGTGGCCAGAAAAGTCGACACCAGCCTGAGCATGGAACAACTCAAAGAAATGCTACAAGACTGGAAAACGTGGAGCGAGCTGGCTCATAGAATCGCCAAGACTTGAACACGACTGAATGGCTAACAACAGTTTATGTATACCAGAGCTACAAAGTACACGCATTGCCCTATTGACATAAAATGTGGGCTACAGGAATCATGGTTATGACCTGGATAGCCCAGGCTAACCTGATCTTATCAGCTCTTGGAAGTTAAGCAGGGTTGGCCATGGTTAGTATTTGGATGGAAGACCACCAAGAAATACCAGAGTTGCTATGCAGAGGAAAGGCAATGGCAAACCACCTCCAAATGTCTCTTGCCTTAAAAATCCTATGGGGTTGCTGTAAGTCAATTGCATTCCTCTCCCCAGAAAAATGGGAATCATGAGAATTGCAGTAGCTGCGCTCATTACATGAGGTTGGTGTGCCAAAATTATTAACAGAGCTGTCCTCATTGTGGCAACACTAGTTAACATTCTTGCCACATTCTGAACTAGCTGTACTTTCGGAACCACCTTCAACAGCAACCCCATAGTCCACTCTGGATGTTAGCAAGTGAGGAATGTGTAGCCGGCAACCCCCACCTCTTTCCATTTGAACAGGTAGGGCAAGTAGTCCTAGCCATCTGATTGCCAACAGGCCTGCAAAAAAATGTTTTGTCCCTTTAATAGAGGCTTTATTTGTAGAAATGAATGATTGAAGTTTTTCATGGCACTTAGTTAATTACTGCCCTCTGGTGAATAATATCCAATTAAGCCTCTGTGGAGTAAAGGAACAGACTTGTAAGCCCCATTGACATGGGTTCTACTTGAAAAGGCCTATCACACTTTTCTCTGGGGTCAGTCCTGATCTTTGTAATACAAGAGGAAGAAATAGGAGCTAGCCTTGTGGCTTTTGCAGTCTCCCTCTTCTAGGTGTGACCATCTTGCAGAGATATTAAATGATGTTTGGTGTAGTGGTTAGGAGCACGGACTCTAATCTGGGAGAACCGGGTTTGATTCCCCATTCCTCCACATGCAGCTGCTGGTGTCACCTTGGGTCAGTTACAAGTTCTTTCAGAGCTGTTCTCACAAGCAGTTCTCGAAGGAGGTCTTGTAGCCCCACCTACCTCGAAGGATGTCTGTTGTGGGGAGGGTAAGGGAAAAGAGATTGTAAGCCGCTCTGAGACTCATTTGGGCAGTGAAGGGCAAGGTATAAATTGAATCTTTTTAAAAAACTTTTGTCTTACTCTGGCCAGAGCCATTTGTGTCTGTAAACACTAAAGTGTTCTGTGCTGGGGGGGTTGCTGTTAATGACTCATTCCACCACCACCCACCCCAGCACCTTTCCTTTTTTGCCATCTGTGAGCTTGCATCCAGGCTCCAGTTCACTAACAGAGTGTAGTCCCAACTTCTGGCAGACTGATGTGATTTCTAGGGTGGAAGGCATTCTTCCACAGGGACACAAATTTTTCTCCAGGCCTGTTGGTAACCACAGCTACCCATGCTCCTCCCAATAAGCACAGTTTTCACGTGGCTAGCCATGTTGGTCTGCAATAGAAGAGCAAGATTTGAGTCCAATAGCACATTAAAGAACAAGAAGATTTCCGGGGTACCAGCGTTGGAGAGTCACAGCTCCCTTTGTAAGATAGAAGTAGGAAGGGAGCTTTGAATCTCGAAAGCTTATACCTTGGAAATCTGGTTGATCTTTAAGGTGCTACTGGACCCCCAATATATGTAGCCCATCCCCATTCTGTGTGAATCCTGATTGACATTTCTCCTAGAACTCCAACACTGTATGCGTGTGTAGCCATGGCATTGAGTTAAACGTTGCTAGTTGAGACAGTAGGTTCTTCACAGGAACAACTTACCCACACTGGCCAATATTTTAGGAGTGGTAGGATGCAAACCCTAGGAGCCATTCTCCCTAATCCCAGACGTGTGGTGCTCTCTGCTCTTGGCTCAGAGCGCCCTCATTTGCCAGGACTGAGCCTTGCCCTTGAAAGCACATGCAGGGCCTCAAAGTCTAACTCCACTTACATTCCATTTTTTTTAAAAACAGAGGATACATGGGCTGTGGCTCCCACCTTGTGCCTGAGAAAGTCAGGAAGGCCCATATACGTTCTACAAAATGTGCAAAACAGAAACGTTCAGGAGGACATTTTTGTAAGGGAATCAGACCTGCGGTACATTGGAATGGTCCTGGAGGGCACTTTTATAAAGGTCTAGGATTGTAATCTATTGCATTGTTTATTTGTATGTATCATCTTGCTTTTACC